GAGCGGCAAAATGGAGCAGTTAGATGCTGGTTAGAGAAAGTAATGGTCTTTTTACTGGGGTTTTTTTTGGTCAAATGAAAACTAAACCTTTTTTTCTGTGTGTGACACAATGTCAAGTGATGGGGCTAAGATGCTCCAGCCTTAGAACGGTCTTAGTAAGAGAATGAAATTCTTTCTTTGACAAGCACTTAAAGTATTGAATTATTAAATCAAAGGGCATCACTGTCACCAGTACATGCTCTGGCTGCATATATAAAAGGAAAGTGAGTTGTGCTCATCTTTTCCAGAGAAAAGCATAATCATTTATCTTCATGTGATGATTTTAGACTGCAGCACCTGAGTTCTGCTGCCCCGAATGAGGGCACTGAGGGAGCAAACGAAGAGCATACAGGTGCTCAGTATTATTTCTTACCGTGCAGGTCTTTGCACCGCTTGCTTTGTGGCTTCCTCCTTCATGGGCTAACTGGTCCGATACCTCACTGTATTTCACACTGAAGGTCTGGTGCTGAGAAAATGAGGTAAAATGCATCTCGCCTAAATTTTAATACCAGTCAAAAGAGGGAGGATAAGAGAGCAATTATTTTTATCTGTCTTGGATACATACCTTAAGATGAGTCCATTTCAGCCCCTTGACTATAAAGGGAACCTGAGATCATTAGTACAGGCTTCAAAATACAGAAGCTACATAGTAAAAGTCAGGGTACTTGTATCAGCTCATGGATGCCTGACTTCTTAATGCATGGAAGTCTTTATGCTGGGCCTCTCATGGTTCATGAAAGATCTCTATAAACAGAACGATGTTCCATAACAATGTCATTCTGTAAGCAACAAGAAGCATCCTACTGTTCTTGTTCGTGATGTCACTTTGTAGCTATTTTGCAGTTGAAAAACTCAGTAAATTACATGCACTTTAAAAATGATAGTTAATTGTCCATGATTCCCAACCCTGGGGAACCTGTCATTCTTGGAGATTACCTAGAGAGACTGCCTGTGCACTGTGCAGAGTAGCACTCCTGCCCATGTGGAGAAAGGTTGCCTTCTAGCACTCTTGGTGCACAAGGCTTCTGAATGTGTTTTGCTGCATTACTGGAGATTTCTACATATCAATACTGAGCCATTAGGGAGTCATGGGAGAGTCTATAGTCACCTTTTTTTCCTCTTTTACAGTACAAATGATGACTCAAACAGAAGCATTCGGTTCTAATCTATGTGAGTTCTTGTAATAAGCTTTACAATTAGAGCACAGAGTCTTCCATCTAATTTACGTAATTTACGCTGGGAAATGAGATACTGTTCAACTAATCCGATGCTATTTTCTTCTTTATTAGAGAATGAAAATATCCTCCGAGGCTCTGGTGGGATTCAGGCTAAGCTTCTGAGACACAAATAGTGTGAAATGCTAATGAAATAGTATGCTACTGTAATTCCCTCTTGGTATCTGCTGCCCCTCTCCCTTAACCTGTAACGGAATCAGAGGAGTTGGTAGGAGGCAGTGGGCCTGTACCAACTCTTTGTGGGCTCAGGGCAACTTTGTACATTTTTGTTTAATAAGATGACACCAGCACAGGTGAACTTTCTTCAATGAGTGTTTGTTCCAGCTGTCTTGCATGGTGACTGTAGTGCTTTCAGGAAAGGGTTAACAGGTTTTCTACTGCTTTATAGTAACTCCTGTAAGTGTTACTGTGTTCTCTTTAAAGCCAGGCAGCCCAGTTGCTTAATTTAGAACATATATATTCAAATCACCAAGGAGCATTTCCGCTACTTCTTAAGGGGAAGATACATAGAGAATATGTACTCTTCATTTTCATCAAGCTGCAACAAGTTCTCCCTCGGTGTGTAAGTACTGCACCTACACTGTTGCGAGATGTAAAGGGTGGTAGTCTGTAGTCTTCGAATTTTTCCTTGTTGAGAATGTCAGAAGACGAGCATCCTGCCAAATACTGCGTTTCTTCCTCCATTGGGTTTCTTTGGTGATGCCGATTGCTGTCCTCTGAGGTCTGCATGTCTCTTGGTTTTCATTGCTGTTGTGCTGATTCTTTGACCACTTTGCTCAATTCTTTCACACCTTTCTGGATCATTTTTATTTTCTCCCCCACTTCTTGTACATGAAACATATGACAAGTCCCTCGTAAACAGAAGCATTATCTCTTAAGGGAAGAGTGAGAAGAAAAAAGGGCATGACATGCTGTGGCAGATGAGTATTTTATATCATAGAGTACTAAAGTTGCTTCTCCCTGTGATTAGTAAATCCTGTGTTGGGAAGAAATATTAGATGGAGAGTACTGACACTCAGTTTGCTAATCGCTGGAACAATAAAGCAGGGTCTAAATGCAGCCCCGCACTCACTGCTCTAATGTCCTAGATCTTGAGCTAAATAACCAAACTGCCACTAGCTAAAAGGGTAAATTTCCATTTTTGTCTGTCAGTCTTTGCTTACTAAGCACATAAGCATCCCGTGGCTGATGGTTCATGAGGGTGAATGCAGTGTAGATCTCAACAGGGGCAAGAAGAGACCCGCATATCCACAGGGCTGCACCACATAGTGTGGGAATGCTCATGGAGGATAAGAGGTTAAACTCTGCCGTGTAAGGGTGATGTTTGTCTGCTGGCACTGTTCTGTTTCTTAGTGGGATGCAAAACCAATGGTAAAGGCTTTTGCACCTGTAAATGTATTAATCTGTGAAACCATTGCCCCTTGTTGTATAGGCTGTAGAAATCCTAAATCTTCCTTTTCTCTCACATTCATGGATTTTGGCTTTAATTAAATATCTAAAATTGTTGATTCCAGAATTGGCTCTGGGTACTTTTCTTTAGGAATAGACTGTATCGCTCTCGGTGCAATTCAGCTGTCCAGGTGAATTAATGAATCACTTTATTAATGCCACTGGCACACTCTTCCAAGACAGCTGACGTGTGCTACTGCTGTCAGCCTGTTACATTACTATAAGACAGATCTGAATGTCTCTCTTTTAGACAAAAAACTATTAGTACAGTGTCTATCAGTGCAGAGAAACAGTCTCATGCTAAATATTGTAAAATCTTTGTGCCATTTTTTTGTGCAGTAAATGAAACTGGAAGTTCAGACAATCACTGGAAAACAAAATTCAACTGCTGCATTTATTACAGTAGTAGGAAGTGTGCTAATAAGCAATGCCAATATAAATACTATCGTTCAGAGCTCAGACTGCTTATTGCTATGCTGTAAAACTAGAATGGGTACTCATGGATGCTGCTCAGTCAGTCAAGTGAACCTGTAATAGCCGGCAATGAAGAGTGCAAAAGAGTTGTGCAAAGGTGACAAATTCTGCTAAAAGGATGGAGGAACAAAAAACCAGAACAAGGCCATTTAACACGATACCATTTTTTCTTAAAACAGGCTGGACTTGCCTTCTAAAATCCAAATTTAAGTACCTATGTTCTTGATAGCTTTTAACCAGTCTGTGGCTACCGTGTAGAAAACTATACAAATATGTTTTGTTCTGTATTTTTTTGTTTAAAAAAAAGTTCTGAGAAGCTTGAAATTTGGTTTCCTCGCTTTCCAGTCCCATCCTTTGCCGTTTGGCAAGCACAGTCCACAGCTGCTCATTTAGGACGCTGTGAGAAAAGCTTACAGTTCCCATTAGCAGAGGAATAAGCAGTGTCATGTTTGAAAACAGAGATCCTGCTTGTCAGGCAAATGCCTTTTGATAGCAGCTCTCATCCCCACCTCTTCAACCCTCAAAGAAGGAAAAACACTGTCTCTTCTGATCTTATTTTTAGAACCTGTGCTGTGTGTTCTATGTGTGTGAGAAAACAAAGCCGGGCTCTCCGCGTGCATGTTACCGGCACCTTCCTGCCGCGCTGGGGGCCTGGCTACCTATGGGCTACCGTGCACAGCCAGTCTTTTGGAGGGACTTACAGGGTCCCCAGGCAGTGTGACAGGTACAGGCTGGATGGCTCAGCCAGATACGGACCTGCTTTCCTCCTCCGCTTAACGGCGTGACAGCCTTTTCTGCGGCCTCGCTGGTTTTGTTTTCTGGTTCTCTTCAGTCCGAAGTTGAGAGCTTATTTCGGTGTTTGGGTCGTGTTTGGAATGTCATGTGTTGGCATGATTACTCAGTCGCAAAAAAAGGGGTTGTAGGTTAGCACTTCAGAAACAGGACTGTTGAACCGTGCGATATACTCGTGTTTTGTAACATTAGGGGTTCTTTTTATCTAAAACCTTCCATAGGCCATCACATGCAAATGACGGTTCATGGTCTCCCTGGCTGTACGTTTTATCAGATGGTCTTGCTGTGAACAGGGAAGGAATTTAAAAAAAAAAAATTAAGTTTTTTTTCCTATAAAATCCATAGCTTAAGAGGTTTATCCAGCTGTTTTAAGATTATAATGCCTTTTTCTTATGGATTATCTCACAGGAGACAGCAATAAGAGTTGTTGGAGATTTTTTTCTAATTTTTCAGACTTCCCAGTTGCATCTGAAGGATTCATGGAGCCCATTTTTCTTCCATCATCTAACAATTACTTAGAAAATCACATAGAGAAATATTCCAGTAGAAGAGTAGAAACACTCAGGAGCAGTCGCCAAAGAGTAGTATACTTTCCAATAATAGTTGGAAAGTATAGTATTTATGGTACCAAGCCTGTCGGAGTTCAAGGAGCATCTGGACAATGCTCTTAATCATATGGTTTAGGTAATCCTGTGATGCCAGCAGCAGGGAGGTGGACTCAATGGTCCTTATGCGTCCCTTCCAACTTAAGGTATCCTATGGTTCTATTTGGTCTTTTTTTTGGTCCTTCATGTTATTTTTGTTTTCTCACACTCTTTGCACTACTAAACTTCCTGTCCTTACAAAGCCCTAACAACGTTCAGCCTTCTCAACTGCAGACCACAGCCGTATTTCCTTTTCTAATGGGAGGAGAAAGGCACACCGCAAATTCCACACAACTGCACCTGCTTTGCACGTGCAATAAAACCTACTCACGTTCTATAACTGCCTTTTTGAGCTTGTACTACACAGGTCTGTTGTTTCCTCGAAAGAGGGAACTGCGTATTATTGTGTCCTTCCTGAGTCTGGGATACAGGCTAGATATTGTTCCAGTTGCAGCAATCCAGTGCCTGATGTCCTCGGTCCTGGGGAGCCTGTGGCTTTCTCCTCTGTGCCTGGAGGAGGAGGGAGAATGGCTGAAAGGCAGCAACAGGCTAGACAAAGCTTATGATATAAAACAGTCTGGATCAAATGGGGCTTAAAATATAGTTCATCACAATTATACGTGTACAAGGCCAATCTGTCACCATGTTTATTTAATCAAGATCACATAGCGATTTTAATTAAAATAGTGAGCTCATAACATCAGGCTGGTCATCTGTAACTGACAAGTGTGCTTAGTTACAAAGGCCAAAAAATGGTCCTTATTTATGTGCTAGTTTTGCTAAATAATGGGTACCTGGTTTAGATACTTGCAGTAATTCGGCACAGAGTGATAGTCAAAAAAAAAATTGCTTCTTGTCCAGTTGGTGCCAGTAGGAAAAAGCCCATTATTTTCAGTGAGGTGGGACTGAGCCTTGAATAAGTTCTCTAACAGCTGCTTATCTTGGTTTCTTAAATTTGGAAAATGGGAGTGACAGTTTAAACTCTTAATTTTGTGGCAAATGGTACTTAGAAAAGGGAAAAATTAAGGGGAGGGGAAGGCAGGGGGGAGTTAGATTTGGCGTAAAGTAGAGAAAGAAGACAGTAATGCTGGACGTCATCTTAATTTAAATCAGTTAGGCAATAGTAGTTGCTAAACTTGCTAGATGAGACTTTTATGTCTGGTCAGCAGGACAAACTGCTCTATTAATTAGACTCAGTCCTGTAAATCTCTTCTAACTTGCAATCAAATCCCAAAGTAACCTGGGTCGTGTTGCTATTGAATTCTATAGCCCAGGAGAATGGAGTTTAATATTTAATTTGTCTTGTTTTCAGCTATGATGTGACTTGTTAGATGTCATTTTTGCATTGGGAATAAAAATCACTAAATCTATCTTTTAATTGTCTTGCACCAAGAAACAAGTAATAAACTGCTTGTGATTTATAATAATTTGATTTTTAATGAAAATGTATCTACATGCATTTCTTGAAAACAAATTTCTTGGAGAAATAACCTTATTAAATCAAAACATAATCAGCCTGACATTTCATATCAGAAAAAGATTCTGGCAGGAGCTAGGGGAACAGTGCAAAATAAAGGCAGAAACAAACATTCCACAAAAGACTCAGCTCGTGATGCTGTTTTTTAATTCAAGTTGGATACCTGCTACAATTACGATTCAGACTGCTTTTTTTTTTTCAGAGGTACAATGCACAACTACTGCAGTCAATCTCAAGGAGATAGCATGGTTCATTGTAATTAGTTAGCCAGAGGAAATGAAATTTTCCAACGTTTCAAGTTGATCGTTTTGTATAATAATGATTTCTCTGCATTTGTTTCTCTTCACTGAGCCAATGTTAACCTGCAAGACTTTGCCAGAGGGGAAAGTCCCATCTTCCTCCCATCATGTGGTGCTCAAAATCCTTTCTTCCACATTTCTGTTGGTCCTGGATTCTTCCAGTTCTCTGGGCTCTTTGAGGAATCACCTTTAAGAGGGGTTTAGAATAACTCCCACAGAACTCTAAAATTAATGTCATGCTACAACACTTACAGGTTTCTTTTTCTGAGACAGAAATGTCCTTTCCATCACCTTATTTTCATAAGAGAATAGAGTTTGTGTCCTCTGGGCTGAGGGCAAACCACATTAGAGTGTGACAGAGGGAAAGCTACATGAGATTAAAGAAATTGCTCATAACCTTGCACAGTTCAGCTCAGGTTTTCAAACCGACAAGGCTTAAGCTTTTTGTGTGCTCCTGATATGGAAGTGTTATTTATACACTGACAGACGGGGGGGGGGGAAATTAAAAATCAGGCAGGCAGCTGGAGCCCTGTAGATTATTTTTTTTTAATAGCTTTCATCAAAGGATGCTGCTAAGATGTCCTTTATTGGCTTGCTTTTCTTTTTATCACAGAGGTGATGCTCAGTGGCAGGGTTCCTGCCCCCTCGTGACATCTGGGCACTCCAACTTGCATGCAGAATTTGCTTGGGTATCTTTGCTCGCGAAGTTAAGCAAACCTTGCAATCAAACATGACAGGAGGTGTTGATTCACTGATGCTTTAGAGTTTTTCTTGGTTCTGAGCTACCAAAAGCCCCAGTTAGAGTCAGTTCTAGCAGCATCCTGACTACTGATACCATTGACCATGGGAAGCTCTCTGGTGTTTAAATTTGCTAGTATTTTCTCAGACACAGAGTCAGTGCTTTGATTAAAAATATATCCTATTTTTAACCTTTATTTTTCTTGCTAAAATCACAAGATGAGCAAGTAATTTGAGTTTTCCACTCTTGTGGAATTGTGTCATGTTAAGAATTACACTTTGGCTGAAGAACAATACCACGATCAATGATCATGATAGTCTGCCACGCTGGGTCATAGGGCAGAGGAAGGGCTGTTGTACCGGAAACTTTTTATACATGGGATGTGCTAAGTGCACTCACTCGTCTTTATTTAAGACTTCTTTCTCCCCTCACCCTCCAATATCATATTGACTGTTATTGCTGATATGCTTAAAGGAGAGAATAAGTATAAACCTTCTGACCTTTCAGAAGTGATTTTTGGATTCTGTTTTAAACAGAAGTTACTTTGTGGTTAATGTATTTTTGCAGGTGTTTCTGAACTGGTAGTACTAACCTCAGTGTAAGTGGGCTGAATTTTTAACACAAAAGAAGCCAAATTCTTTTCAGTAACAGATTAAATTCTTATGAAAGATTTGGTAAATGACAGAAGAAACTGTGGCTGTGTTACAAAAAACATTTTGGGACAGCCTTGCAATACAGATACATAGTGGAAATTTGGTCCTTTTGACAAAATTGTCTCAGACCTCTTGTGACTTCTTTTTGCCTACAGAACCTCCAACTCCTATCGCTCCTCCTGAGCTGCTGGCTGTCGGAGCCACGTACCTGTGGATCAAACCCAACGCCAACTCCATCATTGGGGACGGGCCCATCATATTGAAAGAAGTGGAGTATCGGACGACCACTGGGAATTGGGCGGAAACGCACATTGTAGACTCTCCTAATTACAAACTGTGGCATTTGGATCCTGATGTGGAGTATGAGATCAGAGTGCTGCTCACTCGCCCTGGAGAAGGAGGCACAGGGCCCCCTGGACCACCACTCACAACAAGAACAAAATGTGCAGGTAGGGTTTCTACTGCTTTACAATACGGCACAGATATTTTGGCTCACTTACTAACAAATGGTCCTCTGCACACCCTTACTGTTCGTGTTCTTCATCGGTGGTCTAAGTTGACATTATGAATTTTGGGATATCCTGGAATATTTTACTTTTTATTCCATAGGCAAGTGTTTAAGAAATGGTTGGTTTTATGCACGTAGTGCATTTGCCAGACTCTCTGCGACAGTGTGTGGCTGCTTTCTGTTGAAATGGGCAAGCAGATGAGAATTTTCCCAACCAAATCTCCAGCAGGCAAATTGTTCTTAAGACTAGTCTATTACAAAAGTTTCACTCTGTAAATGTATAACGATATATTTGTTTTTCTTGGGTAATGCTTCAGCATTGTTTATTAACATATTGACAGTGCTATAAATTTATGAGTGCGGTGTGTTAAAGCAGTAAACATTTAGGTTTTAAGATAAATTTTTGTATTCCATTTGATGGAATTTATTCTTCTCTTCTGGTAATGAAACCTGTTCAAACACTGTGCAGCATCTTCCCTTTTGTCTTTCATATTGGAACAGATCAATTTTGATCCAGGGACAGGAGAAGCCTGTCTTCTTTGTAAGCCATATTGGTTGGCCTTTCCAGGAAAAACTAAAGGATCATGTTCCTCATGTTTCAAATATATTGGCTATTCATCCTGTTTTCATACATTAATCATTAGCCATTAAGGGAAGTAAAGCTCTGTGCCTTGCAAGGGGATGAACAAAGCAGTTTTCTACCTAGCAGGTTTTTTTCCATTGCACAGCTGTCTTCTCAATGTTTGCATTCCTGTAATTTTTGAAAGATCCTTTCTGTGGTGTGAACAAAGAACAGAGACTAAAAGGCTGCTCTCCTTTTTCTACAACTTTCCTTCCCTGCCCACAAATTAGTGGTTTATAGCAAGTGGATTTAAGTAGTGGAGAGCTTATGCAAATGCATTCGGATTCCAGTTGCTCTTTCTGACCAAATAGCAAGTCTGAAGTGTGAAGAATGCGTCAAGAACAGCCAAATGCCATGCTGGGATGGGATTAAGCAGCGCAATATTAGCGTTCCTCACCCACTGTCACAGCATGAGCATCCCCAGTACCATCCTCTTCCTCTACCAGGAGAGGAAACCTGGCAGGTTGAGTGTGTTGGGGGGGAACATCCTTACTGCCTTTCCTTTTTTTACAAGTTATAAAGTAGTGAACATTTAGTGTCTCTTTGGGAAGAACTGGTTGGGGAAAAAAAAAAAATCTGAGTGTGAGGTCCTGGCACATAAGTGTTTGCAATATCCAGTGCTGGTCCATTGGTAGAAGACGGGCCTTTGGAGGCTTTTCTGTGGGTAGATGGAAAGCATGAAGTGACATGACTGATGTCCTGGCTTATTTGGGAAATTGGCACATGGTCTTCTACTCATCTTTTGGCTACCTCTCCCTTCACTAGTGCAGTCAAACTATCTAACCCTTAGCAGAAGTAACTGCAAGCCTGGCCTGGGACTCAGCACTCTCTATGCTGAGATTTTATCTGCAGTTCATGCATTGCGACTTTGCAGGGACACGGTCTGCAGCAGCCAAACTTGCAAACTTCTCTGTATTACCTGTAAAGAATGCTTGCTTTAGTTTAATTCAGGGGTAAAAAAAAAAAAAATAAAATGTTGGCTTTGTGCTTAATGGTGTCTTGTCCTGGATCCCAAATTGCTGAGTTTCTTTACTCAGCATAGGTATTGACTGGTGATCATGAAGGATGATGTAGACAATTTGTTCAAATTGGCTGTGCCACTCACTATTTTCTGTCCTAATTTACTAATGAAAATCTAACTGGAGAAGGTCATTCTATTAAACTGAGTTGTCATACAGAGCTTGTTGAGATTGATGGTGATGGCATTTATATTTTGTTTAGGGCATTGGGTGGGAGAAATTGTAATGATCTTGATCTAAGCATAGACTTGAAAGAAGGGAGAGACTTACCCAGTACCTA